ACAGACAGAGAGAGACATAGAGACAGAAAGCGAGAAATCACCCCCCAGGGGGGATGGTCACGCCGCAATCCCTTCTCCTCCATTCTCCTCTCGGGATCTTGGGCACGCACGCACACGCGCCCGGCGTGAGTTTTAAGCCACCGGGTCCGGGACACGAACCGCAGTCGACTACGTGGGAGTCCAGCGACATAGCCATTACGCCAACTGCTGGTTCCCATGATTTGATAAGTTATTTTATTCACAGAATTAGTCAGCTCTGTGTCTGGAAGAATCCACTTGGTAGTTGGAGCTGTACAAGGAGAATCTAATTCAGTGTAGAATAACTGAAGAACAAGCGGCCATTGCTTTTCATTCTCTTGGTATTCAGTCATTGGTCTTTCAGTATTTTTTTTAATTTTACTCATTCTTTTTTTGTTTTGTTTTGCCAGAGTGCATGTGTGCGCACCAGAGAGAAACAGAGAGAGGGAGAATGCAGCCCCAAAGGAAGTGTGGTCATACCATAATCCCCTCTTCTTCATCTCCCTATCCTGTCAGGATTTGGGACATGCATGCAAATGTACCTAGTGTACGTTTCAAGCCTCCAGGGATAAGACTTGAACTGCGCAGTTGACCTTTAACATTTAGGCCATGAGGCTGGCCCAAATTTTACTCATTTTTTAATTTACTGTCTCCTTAAGTATGTGTCATAGTACACTTAGTTGCAAGATATTCTACAAGTAAGTTTGGGAACTACTTCCCCCATTTCCTCTTTCTAGATTCATAGTACACATCAGCATATGTTAACCTCCGAGAGGCCTCTAGTAAAGGGGAGAAAAAGCACCTCTTTTGGCTCAATGTTTTCCAAACTTATTTGCTGCAGAACCTTTTTCATGTATACCTACTAATAACCCACAGAACTACTATTCTGCAAATATTCTTTGGAACACATTGCCTTAAACAAATATTTCTATGGCTGTCCGTATAGTCCTCTTGCTCCCAAGCATAGTTATCTCTAGTTGTTTCAGTGGTGTTATGAAAAAAATTTTAAACATGTATGTCTCGTTTAACACACACATGCATACACACATGTATGTGCATACACACACATACACATTTTATTTTAAGGAGGTGACAGTCACTAATTCAGATATTTTTTCAGTTGCCCAGTGATTCTCAACCTCTTTTAATTTTAATTATAATCATGTAACTACACACACACACATTGCTACTTATATAAATTTTCTCTATAACCATGGTAACAACTCACATTCTCGTAGTGAAGGAAGAACTCTCGTTTTCAGTTAAAGCTGTTATCTAGTAAAGGGGAGAAAAAGCACCTCTTTTGGCTCAATGTTTTCCAAACTTATTTGCTGCAGAACCTTTTTCATGTATACCTACTAATAACCCACAGAACTACTATTCTGCAAATATTCTTTGGAACACATTGCCTTAAACAAATATTTCTATGGCTGTCCGTATAGTCCTCTTGCTCCCAAGCATAGTTATCTCTAGTTGTTTCAGTGGTGTTATGAAAAAAATTTTAAACATGTATGTCTCGTTTAACACACACATGCATACACACATGTATGTGCATACACACACATACACATTTTATTTTAAGGAGGTGACGGTCACTAATTCAGATATTTTTTCAGTTGCCCAGTGATTCTCAACCTCTTTTAATTTTAATTATAATCATGTAACTACACACACACACATTGCTACTTATATAAATTTTCTCTATAACCATGGTAACAACTCACATTCTCGTAGTGAAGGAAGAACTCTCGTTTTCAGTTAAAGCTGTTAATATGTGAAAATATTCTTTGAACCTAGCTCCTTGTTATAAAATACAAGATATAGGATATTCACACACTTTCCCTTCATGAAGATATACAGCCATCCTTTCCTTGAACTAGAATTAGGGGAAGTATACCTCTTCTATTCCACCGAAGTTCTTGAAAATGATATATAAGTATTTTGGGGGTATCTACTATGTGCCTAACTAGTCCTATTCTAGGCTTAAGGGAAGCTAGTAAAGAAATATAATTGTGGGTCAGGGCTCATAAAGAGTTTATAATATCTTTAGTTAAACAAGAGTTGGGAAACAAATGGAGAACTATACAAGAGAGTTTATAATTAAGTGCCAAATCATATCAAGTGCTAGAGCCAGGATGTGTCTTTAATTCTTGTCATCCAGGTCCCTGTATGATGCTGCTATTAGTCTGGGGTTGAAATTGTGATCCCAGTAGCAATAAACATGTAGCATGGGAGGAGTCTGAATGTAGAGATGAAAAATACCGAATGTAAAGGCTTCTCTTTTCTCTCTTGTGAAATTGCATTCAAACCAGAACAGTGCCTTACAATGGATGTGCCCAACTGCTCTGTATTTATGCAATACTTTAATAAAATGGAAATGTATACACTCTTTTTGCTTCACTTGTGTTTTATTTCAATAGCCTAGAGCTGCTTCCCTGGACAGAACCAATGAACCCCACAGTTGACTCCTATCCTCATCCTAAGCTGGAACCACTTTTCTCTCTGCAACCATAGCACTGTGATCATACATAATTTTTAGCATTTATTACAGTCAATTTTAGTGAGAAGGGTTAGTTGCAATCATAAAAGAGCTGCATCCTCCCTCTCATCTATGTCATAAATACATATGACTAGTTTTTACAGGGTAGAGAACATCTAATACTTACCTCTTTGTTACAACACCCTGTATATAATAAGCATTAATAAATATTTGTGGGATTGAATCAAGAAACATGTGAGATAGTTCTTGGAAAGAGATAACAAAGTTAGGACATCACAGGATGTGCCTAATTATACTTCTGAGCATTTCAAAAAGACAAGAGCAAAATATAATACACACTTCCTAACTAATGAATGGCAAAAAGGAGTACCCTCCTTCATAAGTACTATGCAGATTAAACGAAATATGTTCTGTTCAGGCCTACACAGCATAAAGTTTCAGTAAATATTCAGTATATTTTACTTTTCTTTGTTCAATGACAAAATAATTAAAGTTATGGATTTTCTTCTAAGTAGACTTTGGTCACATTCCATAATTTTTAAATACAATATTCTTATTGATTATTTCAAAAAAAAATTTTTTTAGTTTTCATTCTAATGCTTCAAAATGTGACCCCAAGAACTACACAATGTTGTCATTTTTCTCTTAATTTCTGGTTCAGCTGCATTGTGATTGATTATAAGTTTTATTCTACTTCTACATTTAATGTTCATGTAAGTTTTTGTTTTGTTTTTTGTTCTTTTAGCTTTTGGGCATAGGGTGCGTGCACTCACTGGAGAAAGAAAGAGAGATAGGGAAAGTGGATGGCCACTCTACAATACATTTTCCTCCATTCTCCTCTCAGAATTTTGGGCACCCACGCACACACCCAACATATTTTTCAAGCTTCTGGTTCCTGGACTCAAACTACTCAGTATGCTATGTGGAATCCAGCTTCCTTAACCTCCATACTACCTGCTGGCCCAAGTTCATCTAAGTTTTTTTTCAAAGAACTATATTTGGTAACTCTTTTGAAAAAATATATATTCATGTTTGTTGTTATTTTTTATTTGACCAGAGAGAAAAAAGGAAAATGAGAAAGCAAACCTCCTGACAGACTTGAACCAAGGTTGGCCATGTGGGAATCCAGCACCTTAACCACCAAGCCATCTGACAGCCCCAATTTTGGTAACTATCTTAAAGACTCTAGAAAATAAGGTTCTATTAGTAGAATACAAATTTACAATGCAGTCTCTTTTTTTTTTTTAGAGGTTTTCTTGCTACAGGGCGCATGCACTAGCCAGAAAGACAGAGAGAGACAGAGAGACAGAAAGCGAGAGATCACCCCCCCGGGGGTGATGGCCACGCTGCAATCCCTTCTCCTCCATTCTCCTCTCGGGATCTTGGGCATGCACATACACGCGCCTGGCGTGAGTCTAAGCCACTGGGTCCGGGACTCAAACCGTGGTCGACTACACGGGAGTCCAGCAACATAGCCATTACGCTAACTGCTGGTCCCTATAATGCAATCTTGAACTCTCAATTACTTTAATACCTTTAGGAATACTAGCATTTGAGAAGGGGCAGCAATATGAGAGTAGGATATTGCCTGTTCTGCCCCCCTACATTTTTGTACTCCCCTTTCCCTTGCTAAAAGTTGTTGTTAGTGGTAAGATTTATTGTCTGTTGAT